GTATATTGTTTCGTTTTTGTGTTGCGCCCAATCTACCAAACTCACATCAACACCACAACCACCAAATAAAAACAACAACCACAGACGATGCCAAGTCCAAAGACAAAACAAAATCGGATAAGACCAACACGAACACAGACTCGAGTTCCACATCATCATCAGCGACAGGCAACACCAACAACACCGACAAGAAACCAAAGGAGTCGTCCGGCTCCTCGCCCTCGGGCGACAAGTCAGCCACCAAGTCAGACAAATCAAACAAATCCTCACCCACAGAAACATCAGCGAGCGCCAGTGGAGGCGATGTGGACATCAAGACGGAGGACAGCAGTGGCGACGGCGAGACCAAGGACGGCACCGAGGCCAAGGAGGGATCGGGATCCGCGACAATAGGACCGGGAGCGGTGGCGAAGGATGGAACCTTCAGCGAGAACAACATGCAGACGGCGGCGGCGGCAGCTCTGGCATCGGCAGCCGTTAAGGCGAAGCATTTGGCCGCACTGGAGGAGCGCAAGATCAAGTCCCTGGTGGCGCTGCTCGTTGAGACACAGATGAAGAAGCTGGAGATCAAGTTGCGGCACTTTGAGGAACTAGAGGCCACCATGGAGCGAGAGCGCGAGGGGTTGGAGTACCAGCGTCAGCAGCTGATCACAGAGCGCCAGCAGTTCCACCTGGAGCAGCTAAAGGCGGCCGAGTTCCGGGCGCGCCAGCAAGCGCATCACCGTCTCCAGCAGGAGCTTCAAGGTCAAGCGGCAGCAGGATCCATGATCCTGCAGCAGCAACAACAACAGCTGCCACAACCCCAACAACAGCAGCCGCAGCAGCAACAGCAAACACTGCCTCCACATCCGCACCTGCCGCAGCAGCAGCAACTGCCTCCACATCCGCACCAGTTGCCACCGCAATCCCAACCTCTGGTGGGTCCCACCGCCCAACACCAGCCGCTGCCACCGCACTTGGTCGGTTCCGTTGCTCCGCCGCCCAACGGAGCTCCCTTTGCAGCCCCACCATCGGCCATTGTCAGCAACCCGAGCGACCAAGCTGGACCACCACCGGCGGGAGCAGCGCCATCTCAAGCCCCCACGCCCATGGGTAAGAGCGCTGTGGATGTAATTTTACCCAACATGATACTAACTCTATAATCTTTTCCTAGATACCACACCGCCGAGCAGCGTTCCAGTGGCTGATGGCCCCGCACCGGGAGCATCGTTGGTTCCAACCGGCAGCATTCCTCCAGCGAGCACTGCCCCCGTCGCCGGCGTAGCTCCTCCTCCTTCTTAACTCTTACTCATAAGCCAGAAAACGTTAAAGTAACTAGCTGTAAGTCGTACGCTCTCAGTATGTTTTATGTATACTCCACTCTAAGCCCAACTCTTGTGTGTAATCCGGAGGAGATGCACTACATCTTGACGCGTCTCCAGTTTGGTGTCCGATCGCGTGAACAAGCAATTGCACAAATATGTTGAACCAAGTTTCAAAGCCGAAAAAATGGCATTCAATAAAAACCTATTTAAATATATACTAAATGTGGAGTTATTAATTTATTATAAGGTCAATAAAAGGACCTCCAAGCTCATTTTAAACCGCATTCGAATTGAAGGAGTATAATTTATTGTTCGTATTTATTTACGTTTAAAGTTCAGTTGAGCAGTCGGTTCATTTACAATGAGCGTGGAGTAATTCACGGATATCTTAATGTTAATCCTAGGGCAGCTGCGTAAAATGTAGCCAAGTATTTCATGCACTTTTCGGATAGCTTTTGGGTTACTCAAAGCTGGTGCGGCGCAGGATGTTGGGACGCTTGACCTCTCTCAGTTCGCTGCTCGAAGCAGCACGCTTCATGTTGGGGGAGCTCTGCGTGGGCAGTGGGGATGCGGCGGGAGAGGGAGGTGGAAGACTGGAGCAGGAACCGCTTTGGCAAACCTTTGGCGAGGGTGTTGCAGATATGCTTATGTTGGATCTCAAGCATCGTTCCTTGAGTGGTGTCTCAGTCAGAATGCCCAGAGGCGTTTTCGACTTGCGGGATTGTTCGCAGTCGAGGTGACGACCGTAGGTGCCCATACTCTTAACATACACACTGTTGTAGAAACGGATGATATCCGCAGTCTGGCCGTTGCCCAGGTCAACCTCTCGGTAAACGCTCCTCTGGAAGTGCGGCTGGCGGCGATAGTGCTGGATAATCATGCTAAAGGTCAGGCGAAGCTTCTCGAGCCGAACATGCATGTGGATAGCACATAGCAGCAGCTGGTCCAGGTGGCGGTTACGTAGCAGCCGGCCACCTTCCAGGGTAAAGGAGTGCTCGGCCAGGTGCCAGATGTGCGGAAAGGAATCCACTAGGCAAAGGCTCTGACACAGGAGCAGCAGTCGCCGGTTGGCCAGGCCGTAGAACTTTCGCAGGCAAATACCCGTCCCCGTTGATGAATTCTCTTTGCCTTCTGCTTCAGACTGAACCTCCTTGTAGCCTGGCATCATTTGCCTCAAGTTCCACCACAATTGCGAGGTCTTGCGGAATATCAGCGACTCCAGACACTTGTCCTCCACCACATGCAGGTGTTTGATGACCTCCCGGCCCAGAAAACCCTGATCGTGGCGCACCACCAGCTCTAAGATCTTTTGGAAGTCGTAGGCATCCAGCGCGTGACAGTCCAGGACAAAGGGAAACTTCAAGCCATCCACTTGTTCGTCGTGGACGTGCAGAGAGACTTCCAGGCAGCAGGCTAATAGAGTGGCTGTTAGTGTGCGCTGTTTCAGTAACTGACTAATCTTAAGCTGGGGTTTTGAAGTCAGCTCCGGGGCTAAAAGTTTTAACAGAAATTTGTAGTAAAGACCTCTGGCTAGGCGGATTCGCTTAGTGGCCGCCTTTGCATCCAAATGATCCTTGGCGGCATTGGCAAAGGTCACATCCATTCTTAGCAACGTCTGATCTATATACTTCACAACCTTGTTTCCATCTGCTTCCTTCTGCAAAGCTTTTACTATGCAGCCGGGAAGGCATAGCGGTAGATCCTGGGACATCAATTTTTTAAGCGAGGACCAAGAAGAACTACCTTGAATGGCGGGAAGTGGACTTAGATGAGAATTCTTTTTGAGCTCCTTTGTTTCCTGGAAGCAGAGCAGCACGCGCTCGTCCATCTCACTGATATCGGCTACGTGATTGGTGTATTTGCGATTTAGGTTGGCCATATTGATGTCCAGCATTCCCTCCGCGACAATCTCCCGCATGTGGGTGTCATCTCCCACTAGACTCTGGTCCATGAATAGCATCATGAGGGCCTTGTGGAAGAAAGCGTTTTTCATCTGCTGGACCCCCTTAAAGGGGAGCTCGGGAATCAGTGCTCCCAGTTCTTCGAGGGCGCTATATTTGTGGAGGATGGCAGCGTCGAAATCCTTGCTGTCCCACTTCGCAGGCACGCCTGCGAATTCCCGACGGATCACCTCGGATTGGGGGACCTCCAGGGCGTTAACGAACAGCAAATCCATGCTGCAGACCAGCACCTGGCAGCCGTTGACCAGGCTCGAAGTCGCAAAGCCGGGTAACTCATTGCGGATGACCAGGAACAGAAGCCATCCGAACTCGTAGAGCGACTGGTAGTGGGCATGGGCATCCGGATCGGAATTCTCGCCGGGCTGAATGAACAGGCGCTGGAATATGTGCTTGTAGTGCCGCAGAAGGGTCAACGTGATGCCCAGCCGGCGGCGCAGCTCCTCAACCTCTAGCTGGAAGGTGTTCTCGTTCTGGGCCAGCCAGTTCCAGTGCTCCATGCGGCGTAGGAACTGTGACACGTTCACCTTGAAGCTGCATAGCAGTCGGGTTAGTGACAGGTTCCAGCAGCTGTTCTTGGCCATCGATTCGTTGGCATCGTTGGTGGCGTCCTGGGACTCCTCCCTGATGTCCCGCATTTTTACCCGCTGCAGTTCGCTGTAGACGGCGCAACATAGCCACTCCTGGACATCGCCATCGCTAGTGGACAGCCCGCCGGAGGCATCGAAACGTCTGTAGGTGGCCAGAGCGCTCTCCTGGATCCGCAAATCCAGGTCCAACTGCTCGCAGCTGGCGGAGAAGCGCTTCACCAGCGTCTCCGCTTCTCCCTCCACTTCGCAGGTGTTCATTGGTGGAGAATTGTTTTTGCTTACCACTTTGCTCCGTTTTGTTTATTTATATTTCGGCAGAGTTAATGCAAATCCCGTTTTTGACTGTACAAAATGCAAATTTACGAAAGGCGCGAATGATTTCGATTGCGGCAATGCGCACCGCCATTGTTATCGAAACGTAGCCCTGGCAGAGGACTTGAAAATTGTTATCGAACGATTCTTAACCCATTGCTGCCGGTCACTAACTAATTAATTACTAATTTCTTTGTTTTAATTTTAAAAAACATTTTGACTTAGCTGCTTATGCTCTCCAAATTCAAAAATTTAGATTAGATAAAAATGCAATTTTGGCTTATCTCATAAAAATTAGATGGGTCTCCTCAGAATCAGGATGATTATTTCATGTATAATATTATGCGATTGGCTGTAATAAAAGTATATCTTAAATATTTTTTCCTTTTTGCTCACCCTGTTAAAGCGATAACTCTATTCGAACCCTGCGGTCATCGACGGGTTAAATGTTTATTGTTTGTTTTCAAAATGCTGCAGTCAAATCGTGTTCTTCAAAAAGAACAAGCTGAACTCTTTTCTATTCAAAAGAAACTGGAGCGATTTCTTCCCGTCATCCAGGAGGCCTTAAATTCACTTAAGGTACTTGGAATTCCCTTTCCCAGGACACCCATTACAGTTGTCTTCCACAGGTGGAGGAACTGCATCTCAAGTCGCATGTGGTGGGCATGCAAAGCACTGCAGTGGAATGCACTCCTGCCAGAGATCCCCTCCTAATAGACCCCACAGAGCAGCCCCCGCACACAATCACATCCGTAATGGACTCCCAGCAGATCAATAGCCAGCAAATAGATCTGGAACTCTATAGCCAAATCAGGCAGTTTGATGAGGAAATCGACTCGGACTAAAAACTTTTATTTTGGGTAGCATCTTGGCCAGGACCACGTACATTTAGGGGACTTAAATAATAATTACAATACATTACAAATAGCAAGTTCATATTCGGTTTAAGGTTCCATATCTTAGGGAAAGGTGGAGGGGTAAACTAAACTACTAAAGCTATGCGCTACGGACCAGGAAACGGTCTCCAGATCACTCCTGATCGTCGGAGGATTCCGCTGAACTCTCTGCTCGCTTTTTCTTCTTCTGGGGGCTCCTTGTTTTTGATCCTCGCTGCTATCGCTGTCGGAGGATGAGCCACTGCCACTGGAGCCCGAGGAGCTGTCATCCTCGTCCTCTGAGTCCGAACTGGAACTGCTGGAGTCCGAACCGGATGAGGAGTCCGATTCGCTGCTGCTGTCTGAGCTGTCCGACGAACTGGAGGAGGACGAGGAGCTCTTGCTGGGCTTCCGCTTGCGGCGGACCTTCTTTCCGGCCGCTGACGCCACTTCCAGCTGCTCTCCACCTCGTTCTTGGGCGCCTCTGCTTCCTTTTGGGCTAAATGCTTGCTCAGCTGCTTGGTGCGCGAGCTCCGGTGGACGAATTTCCGCTTCTCCTTGCACTCGTAGCTCCAGTGCCCAATCTGCAGGCACTTTTGGCACCGGATGCCGTTGGGAAGTCGGCTGCCAGTTTGGCGGATCTGTGGGCGGCGAACGAAAGCAAGGTTAGGACAAAAAGCCGGCTAGGAGCAGGAGCCTCTCCACCACGAGCGGTCTCACCTCTTCTTCTGCGCCAACTTGCGGGCTGCTAGGCCCACCAAGGTCATCCTGAAGCACTCGAGCAGCCGCTGTTGGGAGGAAATCTTGATGTGGGTGGGAAACCAACGTGGCCGGGTGGAAAAGCTGGGAAAAATGAGTATCAAAAATGTTTTTTTGTATAATTTTTTTCGTCACATTAGTGATGGACCACTGACCGCAGCCAATCGGTTGCGCATGGCCACCCTAATTTGTTATCGTTTTTCGATACCCAGCAGCTGCTTGCTTAATTTTTGTCTACCTGGTTTTTGTTTAAATGTGTGAATTTTAGACTTAATAAAGCCTAAACCGCCGTGCATAATGCACGGTCGTAAAAAAAAGTAAATAATATACACCAGCTGACCGTTATTTCACCCTGAGCTGACTGGCGCACATTGCCTAGACAAACAATAACAAAGCACGGCGCTGACTAAGGGCGAAAGTGATTGCAACAAAGTCCAATCACTATCTCTCGGTAAGGTTCACTGCAGACTAATTGCTGGCCAGTAACTGAGGGTTTCACCATCAGCAGCTTCCCATGGACACCGACACCAGCGCGGTGATGCCGCAGGCGGGCGCACGCCACATGCCGCCCGAGGAACTGGCCATGCAGGCCCTTACCAAGCAGCTGTACAAATCCCGTCTCTTCCGGGGTCACTACCTGGAAAGGTGTTTTGTGGAGCAGGTTGGTGGCTACAGGGACGTGGTGGTCCTTCAGCGCAGTGAAAGGGAGCTGGAGAAGCTGCTGCACTCCACGGCCGGCCAGCTGCAGAAATTCTATCAGCGTTCGTGCCCAACATGTGGGTGGGCATCACTTGCGGCAGCTATGGCAGCTATAAGCACCACCGCATCCAGGTCAGCTGGAGACTTGCATCTGGACGGAGACCAGCGACCTGGCTTTCGGAGAGTACTGGTTTAGCATTAGGTCACTGCGGTTTCGGGACCATGAAGTTCAGTTTAAGCTGAAAATGGTGCGACCCGTGGAGCCAGAGCCACTGCTAACACCACGAAGATCGGTGTCCGTTAACAGGAGGAGCCCCGTCAAGGCTATCAAGGCTGCGGGTGAGGGCGACTCCACCACGACGGACGAGGTGGCGGAGCAGCTGCAACTGGGTCTTAACGATTTCCTGGTCGTGCTGCAGCAATGGGGCGATGGAGTCAAGCAGACTGTGTACGACTTCATGGCCAACGATGTGAACAAGCGGAACATTATGGGACCATTCGTTTTCTGGGCCTGCTCATCTTCTCTGCCTTGGGTGGAGCCGCGCTGGCCCTACGATTCCTGGCGTCTTTGCTGTGCGCTTCCTGTTCGAGCTGAGCCGATTCACACACACCGCCACTCCGATAGTCTTCAAGCTAATCGAGTTTCTGAACAAGATTGTGGGGGCGTTCTTATACTCCTCACCATGATCTGGAAAGACATTGTCAATCGTGGCCAGCCGGTGGCGGTACCGAAGCAGCAGCTGGAGGCGAGCAGCCGCTTCAAGAGCATCCAATACGAACGTTCCGAGCCCCACCGACGGAGTCCGCGCTGGTGACCCTCCGTCAAGGGCAAATTTGTCTAGCAAATGGAGTGTAATTAGTCCAGGGTGGAAGGGCATCGTATAATCATTGAAATTGTGTTACTAGCCGTAAGCCAACCGAAGCCAATCCCAAACCCCGCTTCGCGTTTGAAGGTATTTGCTCCGCAAATATGGGGGCGCCTATGAGATTTCCCGATTTTAACCAAATGCAATATTGTAAATTATTTAATTGGCCTGCCAAGTGGCACACACAATCGCATGCTTATTAACTCGCACTGTTAATCCATCGTGTATTGTTCAAAAATGTGTTTTACTCAATCCGTTTTAGTGTTAGGTCCTGTAATTTATGTATCGAAAAATTATTGTGAATAAATTGAATGCAATATGCGAAAATCGAAATGAAAGAGCCGGGGTTTTCGTTTAGTTTTAATAGTTATACACTTTCCCTTTATTACTTTAGTTGATTTTAATCTCGTTAAATTGTTCTCATATATATTTATTATGTATATACTCGTATGTGTTCATGCTGTTGTCTTCGGTCTGTCATCGAACTTTACACAAAATGTTTTATTTATTTTCCGTTTGCTGTGCTCTTAGTTTTTTTCAGGGTGCTCTCGTCAGAGAAACTCCACGTTCTGCGCTTCTGGTTTTACATTGAGTGGAAAATGTTCTGTGGCATTTCAAGGAGTGTCTCTGCCTCTTGCTGACTATTTTTGCATCCGGAGGAGGGTGCTACGGGGCAACCTCTTGCGTCTAAATGTTATCAATCGTTAAACAACTAAATTATACATCTTGTTTTCCGTTTCGGGGGTGATATACTTTAATTAGTACATATACATATATTTTATTTCCTTTTGCAATGTTATATTAATGGAATGCTGCTCAACAAACTTTGCTCATAAACATTAATTTAATTGTTTTTACTTTCTTCTGTTCGGTTTGATAATAAACTGTTTGCAGACAATAAAAAATGTGTGTGAGAGTCAATGCAGGGGCTTTGATATATCATTCGGGATTCGGTGAGGATCGGGTTCTGGGGGTTGGGTTGTTCTGCCTTGTAAAATACATATGTTGTCAACATCGTTACATTATTTATCATTAATTGTTAATATTTATTGTTATTATTAGTTCGGTTTATGCACTAATTTGCTTGTCATTGTGTCGCCAACATGTTTAAAAACGCACAAAGTAAATATAAATTTTAAAATTTCTTTAGTTTATCATATTCCATGCCGTTTCGTGTAAATACATTTCATTTGTTTTAAAAGTAAATGTACAATATACAGTTTAATGTCATAACTTTTACTTTTTTCATCCGTTTCATCCGCCTGATTTTAATATATTTCGTCACTGCTAACAAATAATTACACATTCATAGCATTCTCATATAACGTTTTGTCTGCAGAAAATAATTTTATTTTGGTTTTATTAACAATTAGTTAGACATTTAGAGCAAAAACATTGATAATATAGAATTTGTTTTGTTTTTAGTTTATGCATAAAAATTTGTCTAGTGAAATATATAAATATATATGTGTATATATTTGTTTCAAAGGTTTTGAACTGCTTATTGTTTATAATTGCATTTACTTTTCATTTGTTATTTGTAATGTATTAATTGCGTTTTTAGTTTCTTGATCGCTCAAGTCCAATTCAGAATATTATTGTTTTGGCATTTTGTTTTTAGTTTCGTTCAAGGAAGTTTCGTGTCTCGTTAGTGGAACAGCAAGGTGAGAGTTGTTTAGAAGAGATCCTAAAGAAGTTTGATTCGAACCAAAAATGTTCGGAAAAGAAAACTTGTTGGCGCGCCTTAAATTGAGCTAAACAATTGGTATTTTATTTATATGCATTTTTATTTATTCTTCAACGTGTTGTTTAAGCATCAATTAATGATAATTTATTCAATGTTCAATATTTTCGTTTGACTAAAAACTATCGAGGGAGAAATAATACATTTGAATGTTATTTTGGTTTGCTCTCAACTAATGAATTACTAGGTTTTATTTCGCTTGTATTTCAATTGCAAGTTTCTAAAAAAGAGCATTGTTTTGAGGATTTTTTCAACTCAAAAGTTTCAACTTTTATTTTTGGGTGTCTCTCGTATCTTTACATATTTTATATCTATACTTTTATTATAATAATTTTTACACATTAAATTCAAATGCATTAATTTATCTGTATATATATTTATATATAATTTATTTATAAATATAAATAACAAAATTTCCCTTTGAAGCTTGTTTGTTTACTCAATTGTTAGTCACTATATTAAAATATGATCTGCATCTATAGCATTAGCCAGTTTCTCGTTTAGCCTGCATTCATAGATGTGTGTCTATATAAGAAGTACTTATTGATAGGTTACTGACTGCCAGATTTCGGATTTCGTGTGCTGAACAATTGGCAAGTAATACCGACGACTCCCTCTACCGCTGCCACTCGGTGTGTCAACCAAATAAAAGAGAATATATAGTAGATACATTTGGATACCAGATTGGATTGGCTTGTTCTTTTTCGGTTAAAACGTTAAGGTTGAATAAAATCGTTTTCTTTTGCTTTAGTGTCTTATATCATGTCTGAAGGTAACTGAATAGAACGCATTGCTCTGGGGCCAATAATTGAGTGTGGGGTGTGGAGGGGTAGTATCTCAACCAACTTTTCCAATAGGCCAGCCCAAGGCAAGGCCCCAGGGATATGTCTGGGATTGCGGACCACCGGCACTAGAAGAGCCCTGGGACTGCCTCGTCTCATGGATAGCCCAACATGGTGCGCTTTAGGCACTTCAAAGTTCTGTGGTTTCGAATTTGTTTTTTTTATGTATTTTAAGGTTTAACAATATTAGGGTATTCAATCAAGGAGGAAACAAAGGGTAGAAAGGAATGGAAAGAAAGATAAAGTAAAGATAGTTATAAACTTAGAGCCAACTTAGAAGAAACTACGATATAAGCTCTTAATTACTTTAAATCATCGGTATCCTCAATTAAATCGGCGTACTCCTCCCAATCGTTGTTAGTCGAGCGTGTGCGCAAGTTTGATATTGTCGGTTCGTCCTCCTCCGCCTCCGTGTCGTCCTTTTTCCTGCGTCCTCCGCCTGCAGTGCCGCCTTCGTCAACCACCTCGTAGTCCTTGAGTTCAGCTTCCAGATCCTTTTCCCATTGTTCCTCTGGCAAAAGACGGAGCAACAAGCAGAATATCGATTAGAATTTGCGTGGCTTAGCAGCGCGGCAACGGATATCTGCTTATGTAAGGATATAATAGGTTTAGCATACATGGTTTACACATATCGTATATTGGTATATTGGGTATATATAGTATAGTATAGGTTTAGTATCAAAGGTGTCTAGGCAAGCAATTGAATTGTGGTTAGGTGACCATCCCAAGCAAGTACATGGTTGTTCTCAGTTCAATATCATCGCTTACGTTTACCTTCGGCTAGTCTCTGGGGATATAGCTAAGACATAGATTTTCACACACTGTAATACGTTTGGGTATTCGCACCGTAACTGAATAATAGCCGTCTACAAATAGTTGGAAATTTTTGTTTATTCTTTCACTTAGTCAGGCCAATTAATGGATTAGATTAGAAGATTAGGGTAGGCTGTACACCATTTTCGAGCTAGCACTAATTAACGGATAGCGTGCACCCAAAGGTTCCCAAAAGTCCATGACTTGCTGGTAGTCCCGAAACACCAATTTGTGTTCATTTGGTTTATTCTTGTTTTACACTCCATCAATTAACGAAAATGTTCACAACGAAAATCATATAGTTTGTGTGTATTTACAGCATTTACGCATAAAAAGCAAGCAAACTGAATATTTAAATTATTCGTATTTACACACCTATTAATCGACGAAGCTTGCCAAATATAAGATTTTCTAAAAGCTGGCAAACAAAAGGTCGGAATATCAATTAACTTAAAATGCCATGTAAAGATAGAGAGAAACAGGGGAAAGAAACTGAGTCATATGTGGCTTCTTTGGGTTTTTAGTTTTTTTCGGCCAAAGAATTTCCATCGTTTTAATTGATTTTGTGTGGTGAGTTGGTCCAAAAAAAAATAGAAATACGACTTTATTGGTTTAGAATGTGATTCCCAAATTGATTTATATTTGTGCAGTATAAAAAGCAAATCGTTTTTGAAAGAAGCGCCCAATTTTCATAAAAGCTTTCTTTCTTCTTCTTGCCCTCAGCAGGTTTTCCACCGCACGCACATCAATGAAAACCATAATGGAAATGCTAAACTAAAAACAAAGCCTTGTTTCACTAGGACTACTAATTAATTTACACACACATACTAAAACATACACAACGATTATATAGACACAGACAGGAGCGTAGGGGAAATGATTGAAATTGCAACTACTTTGGATTGTAGGATAATATTTACATACTATATTGCTGAACAGAAACGTTATGCAATTGAAAACCAACATGGAAACGAAAATTATCACAACTAAAACTTGTTGCAAGTTGTATATATTTCACTTTTGTTTTTTTGTTTGCTTTTATTCAACCAACAATTTCTAACTTACCACACAAAATTTTGTTTCGGTTTTTTGTCATTTTAGTAACATTTTTGGGGTTTTCTTTCTTCGGTTTATATAAATAATGCGTTTTCTGGGTTCAACTCAAATTTTCATTGTTGTCAAGTGAATATCTTTATAGGTATTTATATAATTTTGTTTGTTGTAGTACTTTTTTTTGTTTCGCTTAACAATTTCTTTTCTTTCTTGTGGGCAATTTTGTAGTATTTTTTTTGTATAATTTTGTTCTTGTTTATTTTGTTAGTTGTATTTTTGTTTGCATTTTGAAATTTAGATTTAGCATTTTGTTTTGTTTAATCCATTCAATCTTCTGCAAGATGATTCGTAAATAAATCAAGAAATACATGAAGAAAAATAAATGTTTTTGTTAAAAATGTTTTCCCATACAAATTCATCATCAAATATTCAATGGTAAGATACTTTTGGAAAATTTTGTGTATTGCTAGGAGAGGAGGTTCATTTTTGTGTCGCGGCCAGTTTGGAATATATATTTTTTAGAGTTTAAACATGTGGAGAAATGTGTAAAAGTAAAAGGCAAAATAATAATTGGATCGGAGGAAAGGAGATAACGAAAATTACATCTAGCTAATTTCTTTAAAAATGAACTTGAATTGCAAATTGAATAAAAAGGAGCACGAAATTGCAAAGAGAGAGCGAAAGTTGTATCAATAGGATATATGTAGTATATAAGAATTTCTTGATCAGTTTGGTCATACTCAACTTGTTCGAAATTTGGTTTGTGGCTTTAACTCTTTCTTAAACTGTTATTGGATACTTGAAATCAAATTATACGCCATATGATACATCTATATATATATATTTTATTTTTTTAACTTGCTAAATGGCAAACGAAACTTTTGAGTCGAGTTCGATTTTATCCAGGATATATATTTATACGTGTTATATAATTTATAATACTCTTGTTATCCATTAGTTGCTTTACTTCTATATTTATTTATTATGTGATTTCGTTTATTGGTTTAATAGTACTTCAATTGATAGATTCGCTTTAGTAATTAAATGCCAGAGCTTGAGTTGGTCGTCATATAATAAGTAAAAACGATTTTCATACAAAATGTAATTTACACAAAAGAAAGAAACAGAGCAGAGGAGAAAAAAGAGAATTGTTCGGTTTTTACACTTGATTTGTACACACATTTTTGTTTGTTTTAGATTGTTTGTTCTGTTTGTTTGTTACACAAAAAAAATGGTATATTTTCATGTGTGGCTTTGTTTGCAAAATAGAATATGAGATGTTGGGAAAACAAAACACGCGATTCAGACCAGAGACTTTTATAGTGTTCAAATGGCAATAATGAGTGTGTCTTGATAAATCCCTAAGATCTCTAGATGAAAACAGAGCTGAAGCTCGCTGACTAAGCCATATAACTAGGATACACATGTGATGTTTTCTCATGTATTTCATGTATCTTTTTTATGTGGCATGTGTATGAATGAATGTATCGTGTTGACCAGAACACCAATGAAATTTGAAATTTGATCAATTTCATGGGGCCAATGTATGTACAAAAAATGTTAGTCTTAAACAGAGGTAACACAAAAATAAGTAACATAGTGGTAACAAACTGAGGGAAAATAATAATAATATAAGGATGTCTTACCATCAGTCGTGGCTAGGGCCTGCTGGGTCATGCTATCGATGCCCAGTTTGCGCATGCCGTCTTGGATCTCAGCCAAGTCCGATTCGCTGGAGGCCTGGAAGTCGTCCGAAACGAATTCCGATTCGGAGATCTTCTGGCCCAGCTCTTTGCCGGCACGAGCCTTCTCCGACTTGGCCACCAACTCGGACTCCTGGGCCTCCGGCTCTATCACGGCCTTTGGCTGCTCGGCAATGGCCTTCAGGCTCGAATCGCTCTTGGCTGGCTCATCGACAGTCTTGGATGTGCTCTCTTTGTTGGCCACTATGTTGGCTGATCGTTTTTGATAGTCAAGTTCGTTTTCACATTGTAATTTCGTGTTGGTATTCACATAAAATAATAATAAAATCAAAAAATGATATAATCAATAAACTGAAAAGAGGAAAAATACACTAAGTAAATCGATTTGAGGTGAGGCGTTCGACGTTCGTGGAGCGATATTCAATTGAGCTTCGAGACGCGATTGAGATGAGCGTTTTTATTTGGGGGGGATTCAGTGAGTTAGAACCGAAAACCAGGACTCGAGTCCTCGACGATACAAGCCAGTGCAGGTGGAGGGACGGATACAAATCAAAGGGGTTTCAAAAACAACTTAAGACTTGAGCATACTCTTAGGCGGTGTAGTACAGACGCTAGCCAAGTTAGTTAGTTCGAGACTCGAGAGATAGTAGTAGGTATGTGTAAAGAGTTGGGTAGTTTAATAGAGAGATAGAGAGATATAGAGCGAGAGAACGGAAAACTTTGGATAGCTAGCGTGTGTGAAAAGGACTAAGAGGAAATCATAAGTTAAACAGGCGCGTGTGGCTAAAGTGAACCAAAAAACAAAAATGAAAGACTTAGACTTAGGGAAAGATAGACAGAGTTCGTAGGCAGATAGATATAGGTACAGAGATACAGATACAGGTAATAGATATAGATAGTTGGAGAGCGCGCGAGTAACGAGTGTGAGTGTTTGGTGAGCGAGACAGTCTGTTTATCCTGCATTTCATTGCATTATATAGGTAGGTATATTTTCCAGAGTTTTATTTCTTTCGACGGGCGGGAGAGGAGCTCCAACCGACTTACCATCTTCGCCGCTGGAAGCCTGGCCCACACCATCGGCGCCCAGAGTGCCCAACTCGGCGGCCTGGATGATCAGTGAGACGCGGTAGAAGTAATTCCGCCAGAAGTTCTCCTCAGTGATGCTGTGGGGTGATATTGTATTGATATATCAAGTGATTGCTTCCGTTAATACTTCAAATATATTTACATCTTGGGCACCAGCTCGAATCGCATCGTCTCGAGCGCCTTGTCCTCGGCCATAATGGCTATGGCCGTGGGATAGGCGGTGTCGTAGCTAAACTCAAAGTCCACGCCGGCGGGCGGGGCTCGCACGAAGTTGCGGCGATCCTGCGACAGGCCCAAGATCTCCTCCTTGATCTTGGCCTCATTGGCATGCCCTATCCAGGGAGCTGCTCCATTGCCCACGCCGCCCTGGCCCTTGATGAAGGCCTCCTGCTCCTTGTTGAACGAGTCGAGAATGGTCTGTAAATATTCCAACACATTAAATAGAAACTCACTTTAGATAGCCCTATCTTGAACTCACATTATCCTTGACTGTTTCCTTGATTTTGCTGCCAGCCTTGCTGATGGCCGATGACAAGAAGGAGCCAAAGTGTTTGGCCTGCTGTGTTACTTTTGTGGTAACTGTCGGATACATTCAAATCAGGATGCAATAAGTTTCACTCCATTGATGACAATCAACCCAAAAGGGTTTGCTACCAACTAAAGGAAACTAAACTAAACTGGACTAGGCTACAAAGCAAACGTTTCTCTAGGGGACTGAGTTAAGAGGGGATCGGGTTTCAAACTACTTGTAACTCGGGGTTAGTAACCTGTCACCGCTTTCTATCTCAATCTTTTTGAATTGGCAATTTGAGTTGACATTGATACGACATTTAGCACAATGTGTTTGAAGTTGTCTCTTGTAATTTGGTTACCAATCAAAGTGTGACACGTACTTTTGACTTCATCGCCCTTACCCTGTCCGATTTGACCCTCGTCGCCGGTGGGCGTGCCTCCGCCCGATGCAGGATGCGAATCGGCGCCCTCCGTGGCGCTGAAGTTACGCAATTATGGATGAAACGAGAGGGGTAGAAAAAAGAGGGAGAATAGTTTTGTAATTTCCATTTCATTTGTGCAGTCATATAGATATGGTGTAAAGCTCCAAGAATAATTCATGCAGCAGGCAGCAGGCCAAATCAAATTAAGATGTAAATATTTACACAAATACATACTGAGAATGCTTAAAAGACATAAAATACATCTGTTATAGAAACTAAAAACAAAAATAATAAAATATATATAATATAAACTAAATACTCATGCATTAACAGCCATTACAGCGTGCAACATTTTGTTTTTCAAATTCTAAAAGACTTTCTTTTAGGGTTCTGTCTCTCTTATCCATAGGTCTAGTACTCAAAATTATTCTTTAATTTATTCTCTAAAAAAAAGTTTCTGATACTTAAATTATCACATTTCTTTAGGACTTTATAATCTTTTGATTCATTGGAAAAATAATATTCTTGGTATTTGGATTATTTTAAAACGCCTATGTTTATTTACACGTATTCATGTTTTTGTATACAGCTATTCAATTATATTGTATTTTTCTGTTTTATTCGTGAATGCAAAATGGAGTGACTGAATCTTATATGAATGTCAAAATGAATGATGCCAAAAAACAGATACTACGGGGGAACAAATAAAAGTGAGAAAAACAAGAGTGAATACCAAATGGCAGAGGATAGCACACTAAAAAGTCATGCAAGGACTAATTAGCATCATCATGAATTCACACTTTTCCATTTTGGGGACCTTAAAGACGGTTCCCGAGAAAGACAGACACATAGCGGGCCGGGAGATACTTTTTAGCGGCTACACGAAAAAAACAAGACCAGGAAAAAAGAAAATGGTACACCGAAATAATACACAGAAAGAGAGCTACACAGCAAAACAGCGAGATGACTTTGATTAGGAGACAACAAAATGATAATGGTACTGATATAATGATCCAAATAGGGACAATGATACACATCTACCAACAACAATTAGGGTTGAGCTTGGTTTTTTTTTATATCTACTGTAAGTAGCCAAATGACTTGGTTTTCCAGATAGTTTTGTGGGTTTCAATTCGGTTTCCTTGACCTGGTTCGATGGGCCGCTCAATAATGATGGAATCTGATACTTTGGGCAATTATTAAAGTCGAGAAAATTAAGATTTAAAATATTTTGTTTTGATTTCGACGCGTTTGACAAATTTATAGAAATGAAATGTTTTAAAATAATAGAATAGATACAGATGGGAATGTAAGTTGTATGGTTTATGTGTTTTGTGTTGAAAGATAATACTATTAAGAGGTTCGACCTAGCCAAAAGGAAATTTTACTTGATCATGAGCTGAATGAAATGAGTTATGGTAATTTCAGTTTTTAATTTTTATGCTTTTTCAAAATTGTGTCCATTTTAAAGGTTGGAATCGCGAGAAACTTACCGTTTTTATGATCTAAAATAACACCTTAAACAAATTTCTGCATTCTATTTATATACTTAATAAAACAACTTAAAATCTATTTTTAACTTGTAGGTAAATAGTAAAATTGTCTAAAGATAGAATTTTAAATATTTTCCAACTCTTGTAAAGGGACAAAATTTTGTTTTTCTCATTTAAGCCAATTGCAGGTCGTATTTCCAATTATTTAGTTGTATATACAAAAACGTTGAAACGATTTATAAATGTTGTATTGTTTTACAGATGGGGAAGACAGATTGTGTTGGAGGTAGAGAGATTCATAGAGAGACAGAGATAATATTTTGATTTGTACAAAAAGTTATTAATATGTGAGAAAAGTGAAACTTTAACCAGCACAAGAAAAATCGTGTAGATTAAATAAATAGTATAAATATATAGGTGGAAATGCGCAACAATATCTCAACTAAATGTATGAAAGAAATCGAGATTTCTTTGATATTGAGTATATAGTTAGTTAATATAGTTCAAGAGAAACTCGTGTGTATATTGGTTAGTATTTAAGTAAATTGTGTGGAAAAGGCTTCAACTTTCGGTTAGGCAAACTAATTGTAAATAAAACCAAGGAAAACTTAAGCCTCAGCTCATATTCTTTTGCATCCACTTTTTGGGAGGGGCGAAAAGTTTTCGCCAGCGACTTCAAACAAAAGGCATCCGAAAAAGTTGTTCAAAACAAAAGGCTAAAAACATCCTTGGGATGGCTTAAACGAAGGAGGTTAACCAAAAACCGAAGACCGAAACAAGGAACTAAAATACAAACGCGCTTCTCATCTTCATTTCATAAATTTTTTGGCATTGGTTTTTTTTTTGGTTTCAGCGGCTGCTTCGTATATAATTCCGTCATTGTCAAGCTGGCACCCATACCTAATATACCTCGACTTGTCGTCATCCTCGCCACCACTCACGGCTCCACTGGCGGCGACCCCGCCCTCTCCGGCGGCAGCTCCCTCGGCGCCCTCGGCTCCTTCGGCTCCTCCGGCCTTGCGGAGTCCCGGGATCGATGGTATCGACGGCATCGCTGGCATGGCTGGCATCGATGGCATCGACGGCATGGCTGGCATCGACGGTATCGAGGCGTTTCCCAGCCAACCCTTGGCGCTGCCCAACCATCCGCTGCAAAATAACAACAAAATAAAGGCAAACATTAGTGGGGGTCCTTGGTCCTTGGCAATTGAGTGAGTGAGTGAGTGAGTGACGACTGACAAAATGACAATCAATCTTTGCCCTAATTTGACAATATTCAATGGGCTTGCATGTGGGTGCCGCTGGATAAGGGCTGATAAAAATCTATAATGTACTATGTCAAACAATAAGCAGGCGCCTCCACTTGACAGCTCGTGCTTATACATATTAAGGCTCACATACAGGGTGACAACTAATTGATTTCTTTCCGATATTATGTTTATTTATTCCTTGGGCAACAGATTTGTCAATATCCTCGGCTTTATAAGAAAATATTAGTATTTGGTTCTACAGTTCTATTACAATGTTGACTTATGAATCTCATTTATTGAATTAAGCTTACATTTCCAAAGTAACAAGGTCTGTTGTCATAGGATATGGGTCTTTCGCTTATGTTTAAGGTTAGTATCCCTTCCCAGGAATCATGTTATATTTCTCAATCTGACCGTTCTATTTCTATGGTCAGAAATAATCGATGTTTCGAAGACTTCATTAAACATCGATATGTCTATGTTTTCTCCACCTCTAAGGTGGCAGGCCGTATCATGTCCAGAATGACATTTGAGTAGGCTTTGTTACACACTTCGACCTAGGAACACTCTGAGTCAGTGAGTAGAACAACACAGGGATCTCCCTAGGAAGCTAGAGATAAATCAAAAACAAACGCGATGTACGATTGCTGTCCCGTGTGCCTGGGCAGGCTGCGTCGGCAGGTGAAGACCCCGTGCGAGCACACATTCTGTAAGAACTGTCTTTGCAAGGTATACAGGCAGAGTCCAAGCAAGGCGTGTCCTCTCTGCCGGGCGCCCTTGGAGTACTACATCGTAAGTCCCTAGTTTGAAATCCATAAAATTGTAATTTCATCAATATTTTCTTTAATAAACCTTCCAGAGCAAGCGGAACAATACAATAAAACTAGTATTCTTTTCGTAAGGACTGTCACCAAATTCCTAAGTGATCCACAGAAGTTCTTTTTTTTGTGTTATCTGTTTTAAATTTGCTCGAGTTGGGTTTAATTTTATTTGTTATTAATCTGTTAATCTATTCATGATAAGGTAAGACAGTCAATATTATATTTGAAATTGAATTTTTCAAAACCTATTTTTTCAGAAACTCAAATATACACACATAGTGCTAAAATAGCTTGACTTAAGCCTTCAGGGTCTTATGCAGCCAAGTACAACAATCGATTGGAGACCCGGCCTCGTCGTCTTCCTTTCTATTTTCCCCCTTTTCTCGCTCAAATATTCCATGCACATATTGCAATATTGAATGCTCGGCCTGCGGCGGTACAAGGAAGGAATGAGTGGAAGGACACGCCCCCACTGTTCCTCGGATATCTAGGATATAGATGATAATGATGGTGGTGCTGCACATACAGCACGCGCACATTTCCACATAGAGAATAAAAAAGCGTGCTCAACTATAAGGGGGAAATAGAATAAAACTCGCAATGACAAGCAAAGGATTTCAATCGCTATGCGGCTTGGCTCCACTTATGTATATATATATATATATATATATATGTCTTCCAATCCATGTGCTTTATGCTTCATTATGACAGGGCAAGGCCAGCGAAATAGTGGACAGGCATTGCGCATACGCCGCGTTGTGCGAATGCTCAGCGATGCGGAATCGGAGCGGCAGTAAAAAAATCGCTGTCGTAAATCGAATAAAACTGCAGCAAACCCTATTAAATTTTTGTTCCGCTTAACTCCAACAACTGCACTTAATTGTGGCGGCAAATTAAATTTTTTACCCAACTGGGTCAAGAGATTAAAGGAGCATATGTCGAGCCATATCGAGCAAACGCCATGTTGGCCAGCCCAATTAGGAAGGCAATTCGATGGACGCAAAGGCAAAGTTATAACATATCAGTGGTATACGGAACTTGCCCATGGAGCTTATCATTAGCAATTGGCCAGGATCCAAGTGAAGCATTGCTCGCCTCTTTTTCATTTTTTTTGCCTGGGCATCCCTATCCCTTTTGTGATTTATGTCTTCGTCATTGGTTAACAGAGAGCTGGGAAGCTGGGAAACTGAGGAGCTGAGGGGTTGAGCCTGGCTTCTACGCAGTTTTCCTGACCTGACAGCGGCGGCAACAGTTTCCGCTTTTATTTATGGCTCCAAGGATTCCCATTTGGGCATTGCATAACTTAGCAGGAGGAAACCGATAAGTGGTTGGACATTCACTTGAGAGATGGCCTCTTAAAGTGGCTCACTCGCACTTCCTGCGGAATTCAGTACCTTATCCTCAGTTTCTCAAGTGAAAATCATAAATTTCCATCTACTTTCATTATATGGTACGCATTCATATCGACTTTCTGCTGCCGTTTTTTATAAACATTCTTTTTTTAACCAACTTTTTTCTTGTCTTGCCGCCAGATTTTTCCCGTGAAAAGTTTTAATTATAAAAGTTCGGGGCGAACGCTGCGGCAAACACATAGAACAAGAAATACGACATGCCGCAATGCCAGAAATCAGCAGAAACAAAGGAGTGAAGTGAATTTTCTATGGCACAGGCTGACCTCGATTCCCCAGACATCTTCATCATAAATCCGGAGGGTAAACAAGGCCAGTAAAAACTAATTAATTGGCTTTACTGGCGTCGGCAATCGATTTTATTCGTTTTCATTAGGCAAATACTGCTGCAGGTTGTCATTTTCAATCAGAGGATATAAAGGCAACCCTTAAATGAAATTAGATTTCTAATTTTGCAAACATAAAAATGTATAAATTCCTAGAGAAAATGCAATTAAGTGCCTCATTTTGAGTTTTACAAATCTTAAACTAAAATATGTAAATAATAAAATTTGTTAAATTACAGAAAAAATCCATAGAATATTTGTAGAATAATCTCCGCTAACATGTTGTGCTACAAATTGTTGCATATTTTCCTTCTAGAATTTTCACAAAGTATTTCGCTTTTCAAATTTTTTATAGCAACAATGTCAGGGAGTTATGGTGTGAAAACACCCCCCTCGAAAAAGTGAATGACAAAACAACGACCTACGCACATGGCACTTATGTAAATTGCAGTCTGTCGGGGAAAATGGTGAAGGGGGAGGCTTGGGGCTGGAAAAACCATACCGAGGAGGGTGCCAACTGCAATTGCAACTGCAAATGGAGAAGTGCAAATGTGGCAAAAAGAGCAGGGAAAGATGGGGGGTGGGGATTTGACTTGACACTTTCGAGCCCGCCCCTCTGAAACACCCTGGAGCACCAATCCTCTGATGCGAAAATTGCATTGTCAGCTTAGAATGGCGTCAACTGTTGCAGTTGCCATTGCTCCATTTGTTACAGCGCACTCTTTTCCGGTTTATTTTCCTCTTTTTTTGCAGCAGGCGAATTGGCCATTTTAATTGTTGTAGCCGTTAATTGGAGTACTATGAAGTATGGCCCATCCGCACCCCATCCCCGTTTCGTTTAAAACCCTAATTGGATTGAGATTTTGTTGGCGCCGAGCGGAGATTTATCCAGTTTCAAAGGGTCTAAATCGAAATAAGACACGCAACGGCCAAAGCTGAAGGGCCAATAACCAAAGACCATGGCAACACAATCCGTTGTCATGTTGAGCCCCTCCATCTTCTGGCCACCCTCCCTTTGTCTTTTCTGTCACACAATGGGCTTGTATTTAAAGATAATGCTTATAGGAAATTTATTACATTTGCCTGGCAAAGAAAGCAAATGAAAGTAAAGCTAAATGCGTGTATAAGGCAAAAATAAATGATACCCGGCTAAAAGCACCTGCTGAGCTTCCATTCCATTTCCCACTCCATTCCGCCTTCAAAAGAATCTTTGCCATCATCATTTTCATCTGTAACTCCCAGTCATGAGGGGTTCGCATTTGGGGGAGATACATCAGTAGTAAAGTTGACTTTTACTTTAATGGTAATACATTTACTGGTATTTAAATTCTAGATTTGACGCTCAGAAAGTTCTGAAGTAATAGCGAAAACATATAGAGCTTGGGTCTTTAGGAAATCCCTTTTAGATATGCCTATACCAACTTTTATTATTGCATTGTATGCCTTATAAAGTTGGAAATTGTATGTAAAATGTATTTTTCATTTTCGTAAATACTTCTGTAGCCACCCTCGCCATTTAGCAAATGCCACACTGTGTCGGAGGCGCAACAGCCAGCAAAGTAACGCCGGAAAAAATCCACATTTGACAAATTACCAGCGAGCAGGTAAACAGAAGGCGGATAAGCCCCGCCTGGAAAAGCGGGACAGAAAAAGAGCCACAAGCAGGAAATTGGTAGTGGAGCTGGGATGCTGGAGGACTAACATATCACATCAGCATCTACATAATCATGGCCATGTGTGGCTATTAATAAAAGATGAACGCAACATTAAACGCCTGCATAAATGTGAGTCATCCATTTATCGACGGGATTGCCTTATTTACGATTTGGCCATGTGACATTTGACTTTTCATGCTTAGCAGATTTCGATTTTCATACCACATTTAAAATTGCCTTTTTTCTTTTTATTTACTTTTTGAGTTTTTTATTTGCCTTTATTTTCAATTAAAGCGGACTGCACAAACATAAATATCTGGGCGGAGAGTGAGCCATCAAATATTCATGGGAAAGCACTGGCGTGGGGAAAACAAGCCGAGTCAAAATACCGAGTATAAATTATTCAAAGCGAGAATTGATGAACAAACTGGCTAACAGAGATTGAAACTCTTTGCACCGTGAATTGGCCCAATCAGCGGAAGATTGGTAATTCATTGCCAAATCCTTTTGCCCACAAAGGCGGCCGAAAATAACTTTTTGCTTTTGGCTAATTATAAAATCTGACCTTTTTTTGTGGACCTCCTACAAAGCCTGGATTGTTTGTTTAAGTACAATAATTACAAGCACTTCCCACAGGACTCTCGGAGGCATTTGCACGCCACCATAAACACTAATAGTTGCCACCGTTTGGACATAATCATACTTGTATAATTAAGCGCCCCTACACAATCCCCCTATATAAACCACTTAATATGATTGCCTAATGGCTGTTGCTATGCTACCGAGGCTTAAACATTAAGGGAAACGACCACCTAAGCCATATCCATTTAAAGGGACGACAGCGATAAGCCCGGAAATACGGCAAAGGAACATAATCATCAAAGTAGGAACCATAAAAATATTACTACTAGGCGGCTTTAAAAAGGTGAGAAATTGAACACTTGAGATATTTAAGTAGAGTTACGGGGAACTTTTCTTCCCACACTCTGGAACAGTCAACTTAATGAAGATGAGCAGGGTTAATTAGAGCAAAAGATGACGGGCACTGTCTAAAAATAGCAAAAGCGGAAGGAAAAATACCGTTCTGCATGTAAGTGACAGGTGGACCGACAGCCAGGTATACCCAACTCTTCGAAGTCCCTTTCGATTTGGTTTCTGGGTCTGTAAGACGTCCGGCATTTGCAGAGACATGCCTTTTGTGGACTATCTGTATTTCCTTTTTATGCTTAAAACAAAAGATATTGGATTTGGGATGAATGGGATGATGGTTAGGGGAGTGGGATATATCCTTGCTGATGCTGAATATTCATAGTTACATTATTGATTGATTCTTTTTGGGAACAAATAACATAAAATGTAAAATCAGCAAAGAAGCTACATTTTCATTTGAATTTAGAAATAGATATTTAAAATCATTATAAAAAGATGCTGGTATTTTACATGCTTTTAATTATAGAAGACATTTTGACTATCCAAGATAAAATGGACAATTCAATTTAGCCAAGAAATATATAAAAATGTAATCCATGAAAGACCATCTTTGAGAGACACTGATATTATAGAAGCCCTAAATTTGACACCAAGGCTTTGTGATTTTTCTTTATTTTTTTTTGTAACCCTTCAATGTTTTAAGATGTTTTCATTTCCCTTTCCCTGTAAAAGTATGGATTTCTGTGGGACGTGACAGTAACACAATAGCACTTCCAACAGAAGTGTGGGCTCTGATTGAAAACGTTATAAATAGATGGCCGTCGGACAATTGTCCTTCCTCAATGGCAGGATATCCCTTTGGCTCGTGATTAACTGTTTCGTGCAACAATTTCGGGTTGTATAAACATTTATTTATATCCTCCGAATTTAATGGGAATGACGGCGACACAGTGGTCCCCGAAATGATAAACATCCCGAGGCAAAGGTTTGGGACAATTGTTGCCAAGGGGCTTTGGCTCCTGGACTTTAGGTCCTTTCGCTCAATATAAAGCTGAATGGCGGATGAGTGTGTGTGTATTATGGCCAAAGGCCCAGGGGGCAAACCAAAGGAGCTCGGCGGAAATAAACTGGTAGCAAAAAGGTGCAAAGTGTTGGGAATTTTATGCGCATTAATTATACGCAGCGAGCACGCCCCGTAAATGCAAATGAAATATTTAGCTTGATATTTAAGCTGATTGAGATGAATTAACTTGAAATGAATAGCAAAGGAAGGGTAACTTAATGCTCAACACGTGGGTTGCTTCGAGTTTCCCACGGCGATTGAAAGAGCTTAACTGAACTTGCATTTTTTTACACCAAGGACTCACTCATATCCTGGCCAAAGTGTCACTACACATAGCACTAAACTTTGTGCGAGTACTTAACTTTTCTCGGCTATTATGATTGCAGCCCTTTGGCTTTATTCCGCCCCCTAGTTCCACCATTTGGTGGTCTAAATGGGCGTGGTCACGGCTCAGTTGTAGAAAAAGTTTCTGTGTTAATGATTTTACGACTGCGAGGAAAACTTTTCCTCTTTATGTGTGGGTTAAATAGGTAAATAGTTTTGTGTTGGATAATGGCTTCTAATTAGGTTTAATTACGAAAGTATAAAAGTATAATAACAATAATTAAAATACAAACGAAACAAAACTTACGTGGCTTCGGTGACTAAAGAATCAACCAGGGATGCGGATTTAGGAAGTCTAAAAATAAATCATAAGAATACGAAACATAATAAATAAAAATTTAAATCAAATAAGGGTTTTCCAACGAGTAAATTAAAAGATTTTTAGATTAAATAAAAACAGACTTAGTAAATAAATCGATTTAAGCTGGAAAATGGTATCCTCTGTTACCCACTCATTTTGCTTGGCAAACACTAATAAATTCATTTCATTTACTTCCTCCACTTTTGTTCGTCGTCGGCATAATTACCTGCAAAAAGAATGAAAAGTTTTCAAAGTTAATGAAGATGTATATCGCCAGCGATTTTTGAATGTGTTGGGCAAATTAATTAGATAATTTCGTGTTTCGGGGGCAAGAGCGATGTACAAAAGGCCTGCGAAACGCCCAACCAAACTAAAATGCTTCCTGACCTGACCCTCTAATTAAGCCGAAGGATATGATTACAAATGCGAAACAGGAGCAACGGCGAGCAACATGAAAGCGAAAGAAAAGACCAAAGTTCACGCTCAAGCGGACCCACTGGGCCATTCCTACATATTATATGTATATATAATATATATACCCTCGTAAATCTCAAGCTGAGCGGAGAAAAACAATTTCTTAACATAAATCAACTCAACGGGGGAATTGTGGTATATATGTTTTGCAGATATTTATGTATGGTAGCAATTTGTCGACAAGGACAGCGAAGTATTGATAAACAATACGAATCGAATCATATTGAATTGCAGGTGGAGAACGGAGGCCAAAGCAGGGTTTCAAATCTAAAAGTAATGCAAATCGTCCTCTGACCTTGACCCAATGAAAATGCCACACGATTCGCGGCCTGTGAGTCCTGTGATACAAGACCTGAATGGCAAAACAACTGTGTTCGCCGAGTGTTCAACTTACAAAGGGCAACCAAGATAAAAGTCTAAGCTGGCACACATCGCGTATTCGTAATGCAACAAAATGCATGCAGCAAGGTTAGTGGGAGGTGGATGGCTGGGTGTTTTCTTGGTAATGGAGCGACAATGTCGGGGAGTGGCCATGCGTAATTTATGCCAACCGATGCCGCACAACAACAGGGGCCACTGAAAATGGTATTCAATTAAGCGAAGCTCTTCGTTTCATCCAGAACACCCCTTCTTCTACTTTTCCTCGCAGTCCTCTAAACTTGTTTATGGCAAATTGTCAGCCACAGCAAAAGCAACAGCAACGGCAAGGAGCGTCGTCAACTTCCCTCCATCAGCAGTTTCCTTGCTGCGTCCTTTTTACATAACATGGCATTCATTATAAGGCTAATTAAGTATACGCCATGCTGCCAGCTCCGGGACTCAAATGCACTCTGCACCGCCGTTTGCATTTGGTGGCCCACTCTCGTGGCAAAGCCAATACTTGGCAACATATGGCAGCTGCGTTAGTTTTGACGAGGTTACGCCTGGGACTGATGAGATAATAATGGTTTATTGTGCTTGATAAATAAAGCAAAACAAGCATGTCCTTCGAGTGGAACAAGGATAAAGTTGATGCCAGCATATGGATAAATTAATGATGGGGGGAGAATAAGTACAGGATCACAAAAACTTATCAAGAAACTAAGTATAACAAACGAATTTTGATATAAATTATAAATTATAAATCCCTGTACAAATTCAGAAATATTTAAGCTTTGTGACAGTTTTAGAAATCTTTAACCAGTTTCTAGCTAAATCTGTTAGTTTTACCTTGAAAGGAGATTTTAACTTCGTAGAAATGCATAGAGGATAGAATGTTCAACACGAAGTTCTCACATAAATCGATAGAAATATGGACCAAAGTCTCGTTCTTAAAAGAACCCCAATAAGTAGGCAACAGTTTTTTACTTGGCAGCGAATGTTGCTCATACGCCGAGTAATCCCCACTGCCGCAAGCCATGAATCCACGAATCCAAGCATCCAAGGACTGCGCCACGATGCAGCAACGTGTTGACCTTTAGCACACTTTCCGCAGCAATCCCTCTCACTGTCACCCCCCTAGCCCCGCCCCTGCTGTATTATCTTAATTGTTATGCAGGCGAAACTGTGTTCGCTTCTCCGTGTGACTTGGCATATTTCATTACTCAATTACAAAGCAAACTGTTTGAAGAGCCCAGAGTCAAATGGAAATGGTCCAAGCCAGTCGTTTGCGATTTTCAATTAACGGCCAAGTTGCACAACACACGAGGGCGACGTGCTGAGTCACAGATGAATGAGTGAATGAATGAATGAATGAATGAATGAATGAATGAATGAATGAATCGGGGTAAGAATGAATTGCAGCAACGCCCACACACCAAATCGATTTAATGAAAGCTGCAATATGGCAGGATGGGTTGACCCTGATCTAATGCAAAAGGGCTGTCATTTAATTAAGAAATGCTTTGACTCTGGCATGCGGCAACTGGAAATACCTTCTATTTATCCACTTTCCCAGGCAATACATACAGCTGAATCGATATTACCCACCCACAAAAATGCTGGTTAAATTCGTTCAAACCATAAAATGTGTTTCATGAAATAGTGTGTGTGGGTGTAAAAGACTTTAATTTCGCTTGGGAAACTTTGACAGCCATTTCTAGATAAAGTCGGAAACCTTTTAGAAAGGCCGTTGGGCACGAAAATGTTCGTAAGTAAAAGGTTCGACTGTCACGTACAGCCCACCATGGAATGTGTGAATTTTGCACTTAAAGGATTGCCTTATCGGTGGGGCAGGCAAAACATAACATTGGATAATGTCATTAGCAGTAAAGTTGAGTAATTTTGTTTATTGAAAAGCCGCGAGGGGAAAGTTTCAAGGATACTGCTTTTGCCCGCCTCCCGGGAAACTTGATTACAATCGGCCAAGCCAGGCCAGGCCGAATCACAAGCCATGCTCATTAAAAGTTATATTATTCCCCGAGAAAAAGGTCCCCGAAATTGGATTAAAGTCAAGGAGGAGCAGCCCAAAGAGTTGAAATGTTGATGTTCCATTTAAATAGTAAGGGGGGGAGGTTGGTTGAAAAACGTGGCCCGAAAACCATGGCCAGCAGCCATTCTTCTCGTAGACTTTTAGAGCCTGTTGTTGACAGAATTAATTGCGCACGTTAACGTCGCCTCGCTGTTGGCGGCATCCGAAACCGAAACAGAAAATTGAATTCGAGGCGACGTGGCTGCCAAAGGAGCTATGCTGCAGCCTCCGCAGCCTAAAATTGAATTACGCGTGTTTTTCATACCCATTTTTGCCTTTTTTCAGCCGCAGAATTGCATTAGTTTTGGAGGGAAACAAAGGCCACAGAGGTTGGTTCTTCAAAAAAAGACTGGGCAGTTGATGCCCGGAGACAATTCGAACGACAGAAGCCAGATGGTTGCTCTTTTCCCTGCCACCTACACTTGTTTGGCATTACGTATACGCCCCGTCATTGTGATTAGGCAAGAGCCCGAAAAAGCCCAGCCATAAATTTCAAATGCAGAGCCAGGCGCAAATTTATGAACCACGAAACTCTGCCCAAAACAAAATGGCCGCCCTGAAAGCCCTGGGGCTATGTGTTTTACACTCGACCAAATCATCAAACACCCCATCGGAATGGAGGGATGAGGGGAAAAGGTTGGGGGGGGGTACCAAACCCAGACACATGAGCAATTGGGACTGGCTTTTAAAACTGGCAACTGAGCTGCCATTAACGCAATGCAAATACAACCCACCCAACCTTCAATTTCCCCTTATCAAAACGTTGATGTTTTCTGTATTATTATTATTTTTTTTTGTGCTGTTTTTGGCATTTTATAGAGCGTGCCAGTTTTATGTAAATTTTAAATATTACTCAAGAGGCGGTTTATTTGCTGGAACCATTGACTTTATTACTGCCAGTGACGGGAACCCCAAAGGGATTTGGGGGAACGATGTGTGATATCTACAACCATTTGCATAGTTGGATAAGCACGCTGGATGTGCACTTAATGAGCTACGAAATAGCGCAGATAAGCGAGGTGGGCTTTAATATTTTGAATTTAATTTTTAAATAATTAAAAAGGAATTATTATTTAAGTGAGAACAATCTTTGATTGGAGATTAGAGAGAGAGTACATTAAATTCTTTGATTTAATCCTGGAGTAAGCAACTATAAGTTGGAACAAAGTAGTTTAAGCATATAAGAGGCTTTAATATTTAGATTTTAATTTTTAAAACGTTAGAGAAACATTTTTATTTAAGTAAGCACATCTTTTGATTAGAGATTATTTGACAGAGTACATGAAAAGCTTTGGTTTTACCCTACAGAAAACAATTTTTAGTCGGATCCCAGTTGTTTAAGTTTATAACAAAGACCTGCTTGCATCCATGGTTTTAATTTTTAAATCGTCAAGAACACATTGTTATTTAAGTAAGAACATTCTTTGATTAGAGATTATTTGATAGAGCACTTGAAATGCTTTGATTTTACCCCAGAGAAAGCAACTTTTAGTTGGAAGCAAGTTGTTTAAGTTTGCAATAAAGCCCTGCTGACATCCGTGAAAGTTTTTGGCAGGGCATTTCTCATGCTGCGAGGACAGCGGGAAATAGAAACAAAGCACGTAGTCTGGCTGCCGTTTTTACGATATGCCGTAATTTGCTACTTTGACGCAAGTCCTGGGAGTCCTGGGAGGATGTGGTGTGGAATGAGTTCGCTTTTATGTATGTGCGTGCTGCTCCCACGCTTACTGCTCCCTGCTGCCTGCTCCCCGGATGACCTCCTCCTGCGTCGTTTGTTGCCATTACCCGCCTGGCCTGTCACATCCGCGCTCCGTTAATATTTATGTTTTGCCAGCGCTTGTCTTGGCTCTTAACGCGACTTTATCATCGTCTGCGTCTGCAGCAGGCCCACCAACTTGGCAACATGGCAACATTATCATGAAGGGCTCCGAACAGAACCTACAAACTTTTTCCCGTGACTGGCCTTCCGGTTGCCTCGCTTTCGTCGACTTCCGATCGTGCACTTTCCCATCCTGCGGACATTCAATTTATCTTTATTCGAGCAAACTGTTAACATATGTTTCCCTCTCCTGGTTGCCTATATTTCCATATGTTTCTGCCGTGTCCTGATTTCATGGGGTTTTTAGATCGGACAGGCGAGGCATCTGCATCGTTTACACCTTGGCCAACTTGGCGGGGTCACTTTACGAGCAGCATTAAATTTTATTTCATTTATTTTGTTTTTGGTTTTTTTGCTTCTGCGTGTGGGGCCATAAAAATCCGTTTGGCAAGACCTTTGGCCCACATTTTGCTTTCGGGCATAATTGACCGCCAATTGGATGTGGCACAAGTGGCACGGGGTCAAAAGGTGAGGTGCATCTATAAAATCGGTGTTAAGTTGATTGGGCATTTTGATGGCTCTTTATTAGCAATGGAGAAACTGGTCAGCCAATTAGGTATATTTTTCAGATTGAAAGAATCTCTATATAAGGATAAATATTGCTTAACCAAGGAGATTTAAGATTATTTATAATCATTTTAGAGATATCTGTAAGCAGAAGCTATATTTTATTGCTGATAAATCCTTCTTAAATTTAAATATCAAATAAAATTCCAAAAACTACCGTGAGGCACGCATGATAATTCAGTCCTTGCCCTTTTAATCCCACATTTTGTGTGGGCGTGGGAAATTCCCTGACCGGCAATTAGGGACTGCAAAACTCGTGACAAACACTTAATTTGCATAAAAATTACTATTTATATGGGCCGAATGATTCAGCACGAAACAAATGCCCAGGGCTATAAATATTAATTTGTGGTGCAAACAGTAAACACAAAAAGCGGCAGTAGAAAAGATTCAAGCAGAGTATAAATTGAATTAAATGCGACAGCTGAAAAAATACAAAAAAAAAGTAGAGAGAAAATAGTTTCGGGAAAGTGGGTGGGTTTTTTGTGGGGGACCACCCACGACGCAGACGGCAATTAAGGTCCTGCTGCCGAAGGGAGACCGAAATGAAATTGAAATTGCTCCGAAAGGAGGACCAGCCATCTCCATGCAGTGCTGACCACAGAGATTGTTGCTTTTGGGCCGGGCCAGAACGTTAATTTGGCTGGCAAATGTGGGGAGGGCAACTGGCAACTGGCAAATGTCAAATGGACAAGGCGTCGTTAGCACCCACGCCATGTCCTGGCCAAATGGCCGGACATATCGGCCATGTCCTGCCTTGACATGAAATTTTAATACCGCCTTTAAATTTAAGTAGCCCGCTAGGTTTTTGCATTCAGCTGGCTTTGGCAGCGTTTCAATTTCTCTCTCTTGTTTATCTTTTTTGTATCCTTGGGAAATGTGTGTGTTTTCGGGAGGCCAAATGTCGCGTCGATAAATTTCTGTGGGCTTTTATTTATTTATTTTGAGGCCATTGCTTTGATTTTATTATGTTTGCCGTCTCCAGGTGGGTGGAAAAAAGATTGGGAAACCTCTATTTCTTTGCCCTTTGGCCCAAATGTAATATTTATATAATTTGTGAAAGCGGGATTTGTATTTGCATAAAGAAAGCATATATCAATCAGGCCAAGACATATGCCAATATTTGTTTCTTAACTTTTGTTGACCCCTGTTCTGTTTTGTTTCTCTTTATTTTTTGTTAATGATGACCCGAATAGAATGGCAACTTTTTCTTGTGAGTTATTGTTGGTGAGTAAATTGTGTCAAGCGGCGTTAAAAATGCATTGCATACTTTGTCCTGCCTGTTTGCCAAGCCATTTGGGCGCAAGATGAAAGAGTTTACACTCGTTTTTTATTATTTTGGCATAATTTTAGCAACAAAGGCAAGGGCATACGCATACAAACACGCTGCTGCCAGAGAGCAAGTGCAAATAGTGTAAATGTCCTTGAAAGCGCCAACAACTTTGGCCCTGGCTTGCTGAAAAATTCTGAAAAAGGAGCACAGTACAGGTGGGGATTCGTATTTTAAGAACCAACATATATAGGCTACATTTGGTAATTACTTTAGCCTAGCATAGACCAATTTTTCAGGACCTTGGTAAGGGAATCTGTATCGATTTTGGCGGAAAAACCTCCTAAAATTCCCTCTAGCGTAATGAGCAACTCGTATGCCAGGCAGCGAAAATTGAATAAATTAATTCATTGAAAATTATAGAGATTTAACGCTGATTGATGAAAATGGCGAATGGCTGGGGGACAGGCGAAAAGACAGGCAACAAGCCACCACACACGTTTTCTGAATGCACAATTATTAAATAGGCTGACAAAAGGACAACAACGGGGGGCAAGGGGAAGGGGCAGTAAATCCTGCGGAGCGGAGGACATGGCGTCGTTTTTGCTCGTTTTGGCCACATCACATGTGCACATTTCGCAGAGAGAAGCTCTTTTTCTCTCTTTCTCAGTCGGTTTCTCTCGTATCGATCCGCAAAACGAGCAAAAGTCAACTGGAAAGCAACCACCAAAAGGAACACATCCTGCCATCCGAGTCCTTTTGGGGGAGTCCCCTCCCCTAAAATACCCCCCAACCCCCCCTTGGTGACAGTTTTTCGCACACTGAAAGCTGGTCAAAAAAGGCAGGCGGAGGAGGAGCAGCCATCTCGAATGACTCAACATTTTGTGGTTATGCAGGAGCCACGTGCAAATTATTTTCATTGGAACCCAGTTCCCACAAAAAAAAAGGAAACAAGGAAGAATACAAAAGAACAACACGAAACTGGTCCAACTCGTCAATGTCAATTGATAGTGAAAAGTGAAAGCAGCAGCGGGGAAAGGAGAAAGGCGTAGCCGCTGAATAGGCGTGACACATCACGGTCTTGGGTTTTCGAAAGACGACACCAAACGACACCAGCTGTTGGCAGCTGGCTGGAAAAACGTGCCCCGGATTGACATCCTGATCCTGGCCCAGCGCACACTCGCACAATTAAATATTAATGCGCGAAATTAAGTGAAAAAAAAAACAAGGGCATTAGTTGACTTTGGCCTGTCTTAAGGATTAGCCAGCAACTTGTGGCATTAACAGGCCATCACATCGAGCTTAAGTTGTCTGAAAAATCAACCAAATAATTGGATTTTCATTTGTTGCCACTGAGCAACGGAAAACAGGAACAGCAGTTAGCTTTGTTTGCCCTCTTATGGCATAAAAATGAAGCTAAACAGTATTTAGGGTGCGGACTGTTTGCCAGAGATTGATGAAGTGCCCAGAAAAAGCAAGGAAGAGAAAGGTCAAATGATAGGGAGAGTGTCAAAAGAAATGGGGCAATACAATCAATTATTTTCAGCAAATAAAACCATGAACAAGGTTGGGAAACTTGAATATTCCAGCTGTTGAAGGTTAACTTTAAAAATCGCTCAACTATCATAGTTTAAAACTTAATAATACATAGGAATACAAAAATTTGTAGGTCCACATATAAGAAATATCCGGTTTCATAAAAGGGTTCGAAAAAAATCTTAAAATTCGCTAGAGTATAATAATACAAATGTATGTAGCACGGAAAATCGTAGCATAACAAGAATTCATGAAGCATTTTTGAAGTCGAAACCTTTTGGAGTAGAACTCCAATGTGGATAAATACAAGAACCTTATAATTCAGCAACTGAAGAAGACTCTGCACGTCTCAACTCGCAATTCCACGAACCATCAATCCAAAAGCGTTTAGCCAATTTTCCCTGCATTTTCAAATTGAAATTGCTAGCCATAAAAGTTGAGGGAAATAAATCAACTGGCTTCGGAGTTCCATATATAGGATACATGGGAGTGAAATTATCGGGCATTTGGTTTGCAGTTTAAGCAATTATGTTCAGTCACGTGAGCGCGTGCGGAATGCAATGAAAAGTGCAGGATAGCCCAGGCGGAGTGTGCCAGCAAACTATGATGAATGGGACTGGAGGAGGCCAGGGCAGGAGCTGGAGCACGAGCTCCACCGGGTGAAATGTTAAAAGGTACAAATAGCAAGGTCACATTGGCACGCCATGTCAAGTTGGCTCAGGATTTGGGAGCCCCAGTCACGAAATGGAAGACTAGAAAGTAGGATTACCCCAAGGGGTATTGGGCTCGGGATTCACACTCACCTCTTGCCAGCTTCCTCGCCCTCGAGTCCTTCACCGCCGACGGCAGCGGCTGCCTCCGGATCCACGGCAGAGGAGGCCGTGGCCTCCAAGGATGTGGAGGCGGCGGCTGGAGCGGCTGCAGCCGCTTCTCCTGTGGGCGCGGGCACGTCCTCGTCGCCAGCGCCTCCTTTAACGGCGCCCACCAGCGAGGTGAATTGATTTGTTAGGCCCGAAAACATGATGATGGCTTTTGGTAGCTACTGCTGTTCCTGCTCCCGCTGATTCTCTCAAGGATTAGTGGTGTTTGGTGTGGTTTCCTGACCAGGAAAACGTGCGCACGTTCAACGCTCTCTCTTTCTCTCGGCTCGTACTCTCTCGTTTCCTCTCTTTTCCACTGCTCTGCCGCTCTCCTTGCGCTCCAAAACTTTTCAGAGATATAATATCCTGTAATGGGTTTTCCTTTCTTTCAGTGTTCAGTGTTCGCACCACAGAAGTTTCACTTTCAACGCTCGGCGTTATGTAAATTCTCGCATTTAACTTGAATTTTGCACGCTGCAAGATGACGATGGTGATGATGTTGATATGGCCAAGAGATGTGCAGATCGTAATGGAAGGGAAAAGAATTGAGGTTTTTTTTTTATAGCAGCTGGCGCTGGGGAAAATCAATAAAACGGACTGCGAATTGCGTGGCTTTTAGGCACAATTACACGATAAATATTCTGCGATTCGATCGATTTTCCACATGGACACACGCCACGCTCGAGTTTTTAGCTTTTTTGTTATTATTTTGCAATTTACTATTTGCTGGTTGGCACAACTAAAGTAATTTGATTCGCAAGCCAATTACCACTTGAGATTTTTTCTGGAATTTTTCTTTTTTTTCGATTTATTGCCAGGAGACTTTGGATTCTCGGCTGCCCACTTCGAAGGTCCTCTGAAAACTGACGGAGCAGCGGAATGTCGTGGGCTCAAATACCGTTGTCTTCGTCTTCTCTCTGGGATTCGTGCTTGAATTGAGATTCTCCTATTCCGATTCTGGTATGCTCGCTTTCTCCCTGGAAAAGTGGAGTCCACCCCCTCCTCCGCGTCGCTGGGTTGCTGGTACTGCGATTTTCGTGGGGCTGCTGCTGGTGGTGGTGGGTTGTCTTCCTACTTTGTCCACTGGAATGCGCATGTGTGCTTTGGCGTCGTTGGCTTTTTTCTAGCGCAATTAGACAAACAATTGACACGTCTGTGGAAACAACAACTGCGCACCAGCAAAGAATATTTTCGGTTCGCTTGTGAACAATGCTGCCCATCAAACAGCTGATTGCCCTCGGTCGATTGCAGCAGACGCCTTGTCTATCGATAGGCAGTATAGTGTCGATAGCTTTTGCAACAACTGTTTTCAAAATTGAATTTCAAATTTCCATGTTTATTTCCCAATACTACAGCGTATTTCTACATCATTTGTTATTCAAAAGATAAGAATAAAAAATGTTATTTCGAAGACCTTGATGTTGCTCATTTGAAACTTGTATTAAATTCCAGTTAAAGGGGACCATCGAGCTTAAAAAATGGAAAAAGATTTCTTGTACCTTTAAGCAATTACTAATCATAGGAATAAACAAGCTAAACTTGTGATAACCTACAAGAAATCCCTTTAAACTAGCTAAATACTTAGCTCCATCTTATAAACTGATTACACTCGACACACATCATGTTCGTAAAACTCTATTTACATCAACAGATTTTCGTTTTTTGTACTTAACAAGTAGTAGTTTATAAATCAATTATCAGCTAATTAGTTCGATGGGAGGCAATATGGTTACTCAGCGTCGCTGCCTCGCCCTGCTTTGAGGCTCCTCCCCCGTCGTTTCCGCTTCCGTCGCTTCCTGCTTCGGCTGCTTCGCCTGTTGGGCTTTGATTTCGTGGTCAAGTCGCTCCTTTGCCCGGAAAACCTTCGATTGGATGTAGAAGGAACCGCCGTTGGAGCGCTCGTTCACCTGGAACAGGTGCTCGTAGTTCTTGGTAATGGCCTCCACGTTCTTGGGGTCATCAATGTTGAGGATTTGCTTGGCCTCCTCCAGCGTCATGCCTGCAAGGGTGAAAAAGTAGTATGAGTACTAGCTTATACCATGGCTAGTAGATAGACTCACCTGTGCGCAGGTTGGACTCGGCGCTCTTGTCGCCCTGCTTGCCACCGCCTGCTCGACGAGCCGCTTCTTGGGAGGCAGCGATTTCCTGCCGCAGCGCCTTGGTGAAAGCTCTTCCCACCGCCTGGGCGCCCAGCACGATGATCTGGGCAATGTACTTGGCCATTTCTTATGCTGCTCGGCTCGAACGTAAAATCTGAGGCACTCTGTGATTACACTTTAATTTTGGGGCACCTTAAAAACGTGTCGCTTAAATTACGCAACCGCTGATTGGCCTGGGTTGCTCCAATTGAATTATTCTATAGATATCGTTCTGAAGATGCAAGTTTAACGCCTTTTACACACAATTTTGATATATTTATTGCAATATTGTTTAGGTACCAATTGAATTTTATCTTTTAAGCCAGGTAAATTACTAAAGTTGCTGGCGGCGAAAAACAGACAAAACAGCTGGTTGCCTAGAGATGGTATACGGCTTGTATCGATAGCTAACGATATGTTTTCTGGATTGTAAAGTGTAGAAAAAATCTAGCTATATTTTTGTCATCACTGTTAGAAATCGACTTTGAAAATGTTTTAGGTAATGGTAAATATTTAATTGAAAATTGAACTATTTTTAATACATAAAAAAAATAAAAATACGAATTTGTTGGATGTCATATATATCTTTAAACAAAGTATAAGTGAGCTATTTTTTATAATCGATAGAATCTCTGCTTTTGTCAGTTACTTTTTAAAAATTCAAAATTTAGCTAGGTTAGCAGATGGCTCAGGAACCCAAATGGAAGAAGGCCTACGATCGACTGATCCGTGAGCACTTCGATGACGAGAAGCAGGTGCACTTGCTGCAGCGCCAACTGCGACATTTCCGGTCCAAAAGGGAACGCCTGCAGAACCAAATCGAGGAGGAGAGCAAGGGCATGGACGCCTGGATGGACATGATGGATAACCTGCGCCGCGGATTGGACCGCTTTCAGAAGCACAAGCACCTCCTTACTCCCAAGAAGAAGAAGCAGTTGCGGCGGATTATCCGTCAGCTGCCCAATGACACTTTGGAGGAGCGTGTGCGTCTGATGGAGGTTTCGGAGAAGTTGGTGCCCAAACCATGTAAGGAGGCTAAAGTTCCTACTGGCAAAGCCCCAGGAGAGCAGGCCACCGCCAGATATTCCGTGCCCCTGCAGAAACCCTGTGATCCCACGAAACAGCCTTCGGTGGACAAGCGGCTCTCCAGGATTAATGCCGATCTGCAAGCCCTGCGTCGGATTCACGAACAGACCATGTCCGTTGTGGCAGATATACGTTCCCTAATGGCCACCATTAACTATTTGGAGAGGGGCCATTGCAGCAACATTAAAATCACTCCCTATGTGGAGGAGGCCACAAAAGATAAAGATTCCCAGCCTTCCATGAAGGCCACCATAAAATTGGATCGCCTGCGTAGGACCAAGCACAAGACGCACTACACCCGGGAACTTATGGACATTCGTCCTCCATACATCCTTGATCATGTGCCGCAACTGAAACCCCCTCATATTTTTGACTTCCTCGAGAAGAAAAGCAAAAAACCACACACACACTAAACCATCTCTGTGGTGGGGACAATAATTTATTACGCCAAGAATTAGTCTACTTAAACATAGTCTACTTGAACATGTTCTATGCTATGCTAATCCTGTCCAGCTTCCGTTCGATATATACAATTTACAATGACAACTAAACTCATTGATCGTCCTTATAAAGAGGTTTCGGGAAGAGCAGTTCCCTTCCTTTTTACTGTATGATCATTGAACTAGAGCTTAGTTTTCTTGGTTGGCCTGTTGGCCTGGCACTTTATAATGTTGAACCCTTATGTGCCCATAAATTCTCTTATTTTGTGCAGTTCTTTCTGCTTTTATGGCCTGCCTCTGTGCTTTTGGTGGTGGCTAATGCCAAAAAGGGGCATCTCAACAGAATCCCGGATTGGTGTGCTCGATGATGCAGCGTTTGCAGTACTTCTTGACCGCCCGATAACCCTCGATGGACACCGGGCAGTCCTGGATGTTGAGTTGCTGCAATCCCCGGCAGTAGTAGGCGATGCACTGCACCCCGCGATCCGTGATCATGTCGCAGCTGCGCAGGCTAAGCTTCTTTAGATTGGGACAGCTTTCGGCCAGGGCACGCAGCCCCGCGTCGCTCACATCGCACTTCCCAATGTCCAGAGCTCTCAGCCGCGGACAGGATCGGGCCAGGACCGTAATGGAATCATCGCTTACAGCCTCGCATCCTCGGGCATTGAGATACCGCAGCTTGTAGCACCTCCTGGCGATGACCTTCAGCCCAGCATCCGAGACGCGTTCGCACTTGGCCACCGAAAGGTAGCGAAGCGCAGCTCCCAACTTGGCCAGTTCGTATAGGCCAAAGTCGGTGATGTTCAGGCAGTCGGACACACTCAGCTCTTTCAGCGACACACAAAAACTGGGCACAAACTTCAGACCCGCATCTGTGGGTTATAGGAAATCGTTATATATCGAGCGGTGTAAATAAGTATAATCAATTCCAACTCACCTGTAATTTGTATGCAGCGCCGCAGATACAGATACACCAGCTGGGGACAGTTCTTGACCACGATCTTCAAGCCCATGTCATCGATGGCCATGCAGTCCGTGAGGTCCAGATACTGCAGCAGGAGGCGACGCGGTGGCTCCACATGGGGATTCGGACTGATGCTGCTCACCTGGCTGCAGCCTGAAAAAATGTAATATTGAAACAAGGTTGGTTAATAAAGTTAATTATGATATTTCAAAACGAACATAAAGTGATTTAACGCTTTTGAACGATTTTAAACCTATTTCCTATTTCCAATAGATTCTATAATGGGAGCCCTAAACTGAACTTCTATATTCAATAACTTGCGTTATAATATCCTGATTTTAACGTGGGATACCTCTATGAATTTGTGGAGCAATTCTCTAATATTCTACATTAAAACTTACCTCTTAATCGGGGGTAAGAAATTTAGCCCATTTTCATGTTCGATTTTTCCGTAATTCCCATACCTTTCAGAATGGGGAACCCAAAACTGCACTTCTAGATTCCATAACTTTTGTTATTGGATCCCGATTTAGACGTGGGATACCTCTTTGAATTTGTGGAGAAATTCTCTTATGTTCTGCATTACAATTTATCTTATAAACGAGGGTCAAAAATTTAACCCATTTTCATGTTCGATTTTTCCGTAATTCCAATACCTTTCAGAATGAGCACCCAAAACTGCACTTCTAGATTCCATAACTTTTGTTATTGGATCCCGATTTTGACGTGGGATACCTCTTTGAATTTGTGAAGGAATTCTCCTATGTTCTACATTACAATTTATCTTATAAACGATGGTCAAAAATTTAACCCATTTTCATGTTAGATTTTTCCGTAATTCCAATACCTTTCAGGAAGGGGCACCGAAAACTGCACTTCTAGATTCCATAACTTTTGTTATTGGAACCCGATTTTGATGTGGGATACCTCTCTGAATTTGTGGACAAATTCTCTTATGTTCTGCATTAAAATTTATCTCATAAACGAGGGTCAAAAATTTAACCCATTTTCATGTTCGATTTTTCCGTAATTCCAATATCTTTCAGATTGGGACACCGAAAACTGCACTTCTAGATTCCATATCTTTTGTTATTGGATCCCGATTTTGACGTGGGATACCTCTTTAAATTTGTGGAGGAATTCTCTTATGTTCTGCATTAAAATTTATCTTATAAACAAGGGTCAAAAATTTAACCCATTTTCATGTTCGATTTTTCCGTAATTCCAATACCTTTCGGAATGGGGCACCGAAAACTGCACTTCTAGAGTCCATAACTTTTGTTATTGGAAGCCGATTTCGACGTGGGATACCTCTTTGAATTTGTGGAGGAATTCTCTTATGTCCTACATTAAAATTTATCTTTTAATCAAGGGTAAAAAATGTAACCCATTTTTATGTTCGATTTTTTCAATCACTGGGAGTTTAGAATAAAATGGATATAATCCGGGGTTCTTATTGAATATTCTGAAATATTTCCACCCACCTGTCACATCCAGATGCTGCAGGTTGCTGCACTTGGTCAGCGCCTCGACCAGCGCCTGATTTGAGACGCCTACGCAGGTCTGCAGCTGTAGGTGTGTCAAC